GATGAGGCTTTATGAAAATGGCTGAGATTATTCATTCAGTGAGGAACAAAGTCCAGTTAGATTTCAGGTCCTCTGAATCTTTCTACTTCACCACAACTGAAACCCACTTTTCATTTTAGTGATTCTGAAAGTAGATCTGCAGTCCTTTACAGGGCTGGAAGCAGATCTGAAAATGTAGTCTCTCCCTGGTTTTTATAAGTGACAGGGGCAATCTTATAGACTCTGATTTTTACAGAGGCTAATTTAACTGTCACTTTTAAGTGTGAGTATTTCATGAAAGCTTGCTACAATGCGATATTCATGAATATGTTATTAAAATGCACTGAAGACTCTAATTCTAGTTTATACTAAGAAGTCTGGCTGTTGCACAATGCTTGACAACGATACAAAGCTCATACAGAGTATGAAGTGGAATTCCCCTAAAATGAGGAATGAGTGGGGTACATAACTCACTAGATCTTTGCCCCACCTAAATGTAGCCCAAAGGCTGAGAACCACTACTCTATGACCAACATTCCACCTTCCTTCTCTCCTGATCAAACTAAGAAACTCCTTCCAGTCTCTCTCATTCAAAGCACAAACTCATTCTCTCTCATTCAGAGCACAAATTCAGATTACAACATGGCAAAGGTTCAGATTTCTATTTGACACAGGAATCACCTTCTGCTTTGTCTTGAAGGATAGCCCCCAAGACTAAAATTGAGACAGAAATACCATCCATGATATCATGTGACTTGGCAACTGGTACCAGGGTTGCCATAAAGAGAAAGCAAGGCCATTTTAAAATTATATCTATCAGCTGTGCAGTATCCATGATCTTTGGCAAAGGAACCTATCTGGTGGTAGAACCATGTAAGTGACTCTTTTTTTCTTCTTATGACCACTATATTTAGCAATTTTCTTTGTTAAATATTTTCCCAAGTCACTAGGTTGGGAAACACTTGAAAAGATGTAACCAGTGTGTAATTTAGCAAGGGATGATTTGAGCAACAGGGACTGAGTCTCTGATAAGATTCAGAATGAGGTATGTGCTGCAGTGGTCCTCTTGACCCACTATCTTTCCTGGAGAATATGTGTTGTCTTCCCTCCACCTGATTAACTTTATATAACCAACTTACCACCTGTGTGTTCACTATTCACAGATCCAGGTCATAACCAGACCTGTTCTAAATACATCTAATAAAAGAGAGATGTGATAATGAGCATGACAGACCAAGAATTCAAAGACCAAGTTCCAATTCTTCTCTTTGACTGACAAGGTCTATGACTTGACTTCACTGAACTTTAGTTTCCCTCTACCTAAGCCAAGTGATTTACAAGGTGTCTTCCAGCTTGAGCACATTATGATTCTGATTATCATCCAAACTAATTCTTAGGGAAGATTTAGTAGGAAAAGCAAAGAAGTCCAATAATCTGAGTGTCTTATGACACAGTAGCAATTCTGTGATTTGATTTTTTTAAAGTTTTATTATTTATTTGAGAAAGAGAAAGAGAGTGGTGGGGGAAGGGCAGAGGGAGAAATAGTCTCCCCGCTGAGCAGGGAGTGGAAAGGTGCAAAGCAGTGGGGGAGGGGGGGTTCAATACCAGGACCCTGGAATCACAACCTGAGCTGAAGGCAGATGCTTAACCAACCGAGCCACCCAGCCACCCCTCTGTGATTTGACTTTTTAAAAGGTACTGTAAAAAAGAGTCAAAACTGTCCCTATGCATCCATTAATTAACCTTTGTTTCATCACAGAAGTTTGACAAGTGACTGCTGAGGTTCCTTCCAGTCCTATTATCTATTACTCTGATTCAATGCATGGAAACTAGGCCTAGAGACCTGGGAGTAAGACCCAGCCCACCACTCACTATTTTAACCATACTTAGTTTCAGAGACTTCATCTGTAAGAAGGATCTAATAATATCACTTTGACAAGTGACTGATGAGGCACCTTCCAATCCTATCATCTACTATTCTAGTTCAATGCATGGAAATCACAGAGAACTGGGAGTAAGGTCCTGCCCAGCCACTCACTATCTTAACCATTCTTAGCTTTAGTGACTTCATCTGTAAGAAGGATCTAATAATATGACCTCATGGAGTTTGTTACAGTGTTTGCTAAAGTAGTATAAACACAAGACATTTGTAAGTAGCAAAGCACTTATCCAAATGGTAGTTATTTAGGATTACTACGACCCTTTGGTAGGCTCCAAGCCTTTTGCATCGATGGCTCTTGCTCTAACCATCATGTTCCTCCACCTCTAACTGAGGCATAGTCTTTATGATGGACTTGAGCCTTGTAGTTAGGTTTCTGCTAACAATAGCCATTTGTAAATTCTCAGCAAAGCCAAAATGATTCCTTTCTCCCTGTGAAAATGTGATCCTGAAGCAAGATCGGGGGTAAGTGATGGCAGGTTGAGGAAATAATAGCAGAAAACTTGGGGACTTCCCTAAATGCCAACGCTCAAAAGATAACACGTATCAAACAAGATGCCACAATATAATGCTTAGATCTCAGAAACCATTGAAGAGTTTTACATCTCCAGTTATACCTGTTCTGCTCTACCTATCCCCTTCCAAACAGATGGACTACACAGAGGGCAAATAGGTAGCAAGGTTTTTTGTAATGATGCATGAGGTGGTGTGATGAAGCACAGCTTGTCTTTGGAAGAGGGACTCAACTCCTTGTGGAACCAAGTAGGTTATGCATTTTACTCTAGTGCATTTATTCACTTGGAGTTGTAGCCTGGTCCTGAATGAATGGAGCTTCTTGAGAAGTCAGGAGGTTCCAAACTAGAAATCCATTGTTTTGTTGTTGCAGAGAGTCAAGGTAAAATTTTAGGACAAATTTATCTGAAGAAAAATATTCTTGGAAACTCCGTTCTAAAGATTTGCAGCAATAAGCCTTCTACAGTGACCTGAAGAAAGCCCTTAGTCAGGCTTTTGGTCCTCTTCGTCACACATTGCGACCAGGGAAAAAGGCAAGTTCTAGGTGAGGAGATTCTTCCACTATTTATGAGGGAAAAAAGTCATGGCCACAGTGTAAGAAGAAGAACAGACCTTTTAAAGGAAGGAAAATATCATTAAAGACAGAGTTAGATCAAGATAGTCTTCTGTCAAAAACAAACAAACAAAAAAGATAGTCTTCTCTCCCTGAGAAGCCAATCTTGCCCTTGTGTCTTTTGGCTAAGAACTTGCTTTAAGTCAGTGTACCTGGCTCAGACTAACTGACCCCCAAGGTCCCATCCTAGTCCGGGTCGGCCAAGAGCAGTTAATGTGCTCATCTCTTCTGTTAGCCCTGAATCTAAAGACTCTGCGCAGCGTTCAGAAGCCTATATCCACTGTAGAATCACAGCCACCAACTTCAGAACAATAGGGAAGTAATGGAACTCTCCTTGGGATATTGTCCACTGGTGATCTGTTCCAGGGCTTGGAAATTCCAGGGCAATATTCAGGTAGTTTGGATAGCTGCCAACAGACAGTCACTGACACCAGTCCAGAGAACAACAGTCTCTCAGAAGCTTTCCAAAATGCAGGCATTACCCCTTACATGATTAAATTTTATTTCAGAGGAAATAAAGAAGCAGGGAAAGGTATATGAATACGGCAAGGTTGACAGTCCTGAAAGCAGCTGGTCATGTCAACATGGCGTCTGCTTCTCAGAAGGAAAATAAACTTACAGGGGTTCTTGATTGCTTGTTGCTTCCAGGGAAATAGTGAAATTTGGTGAGTTGCCTTTGAGAGGAGAGAGACTAGAAAGAAGGAGGGAAACAACCATGTTGTAGCTGATTGCAGTCTGATCGATGTTGGGCAAATTGCATCTGAGCAAAAAGAATTGTGTTTCATTTTCCCTTTAAATCATTTCCACTTGAAATTCAGAATTATCTGCAGTGTTAGAATCAAATCTCTGAGGCTGTGCCTATGGGAGTCTTAGAGAAGTAGGAAAGAGAAGAAAATGATGCTTAGCCCCTCTGCTGGGACACTGACCTGCGCTCTCCAGTGATACTCCATTTACTTCTTTAGTTTTCTCTTCCTGCTGTGATGGAGTGTAATATGATTATGTGAAGCTCAGGTAGGGAAAGTGAGAATTTCAAGTCAAGCCCTCAATCCTTAAAGTTTTGACAGCAAATAATGGCCTGATACAACTGTCATTCCCTTTGGCTCTAGAAGTCCTAGACTCTGGATTTCTGGTGATGAGACAAAGTAATCCATATGGTCTTTAAATCCTATTTCACATGATTAGTATATCCTCCTAAAGCTTGTATCTGAGTCTAGACAGGAGAAATTATAAAATGAAAATAAACAGTCCAAAGAAAGCACTGGCTTCTCAGACCTGCCTCCATGGTACGTGGCACCACTGGGCTCCCCATCGGCTACCAACTTCTCATTCAACCCTCAGATCCTTAGAAAGCCTTTTCCTGGGCTTAGGGAATTTGTTTCCAAACAAATTTGGAATTTGGACATTTGGAAGCAAATTCCTTATTTTTGTGAGACTCAGTCTGAGTAGGGAAGAAATCAGGTTTCTAGGCAAAAAGCAGAATTTGTGACCCAAGAGAAGAAAGCCAGAATATGAAAACGAGACCTGTGTCTAAACCCTCCTCAGCCTAACACTCATTACAAGAACTGTCACCAGTCAGTGCCCCATCCCTATTCCCAAGCTATTGTGCTCTATTTGGAGAGACCTCCCAATCAACTGAGAGTTAAATTTTCTGTCTTGAAGGCAGCTATCAATCACCTGTCCCCTTCTTCTCTCCCTCTATGTCAGCCCTGTCCCTCATGTCCTTGTGTTTCCTGGCTGGGATTTCATGCTCACATCCTTATCCAGCAAACTATTATAAGCTTCAAAGGGAACTGAGACTGTGCACTCAGCCCCTTCATCTCATCAAGGGCAGCTTTGTAGTTCTCTGAGTTGTGGGGTCTCTAGGCTGGGACCCAGGCTGGGGAGGCAGGGCACAGATGTTCTAACCCAGGCCCCAGGGCCAGCCCCAGGCTGATTACTTGTGAGGCAGTGTTGCAATGTGCTCTTGGGATACTCGACAGATGTTTTTTGGAGCTGGCACTAGACTCTTCGTGGAGCCACGTGAGTTGATTTTTCCCCTGTATTTCTAGGGATAAACTGAGTTCTGGCACTGGTGCTGCCACCCGGTTTGCACTACTTGGGAAAGTATAACTAGGAGATGGAGTAGCCTAGACATGGGGGTAGGCCAGAGTAAAGAAACAGGCTGAGTCATTGAAGTAGCTCTGTAACTACTTTTGTTTTTAAAAAGCATATATTAAAACTATAGGCCCAGGCTGCTGGGTGGCTCAGTTGGTCAAGCATTCGACTCGATCTCAGCTCAGGTCTTGATATCAGAGTCATGAGTTCAAGCCCTGTGTTGGATTCCATGCTGGGTGTAGAGCCCGTTAAAAATAATAATAATAAAAATTTTAAAAACCTATAGCCCCCACTCATTTCTGGAATTCTTCAAAGCAGCTAAGAAAACTAGAAAAAATATAGTAATTGTTGGAACATATAAGGGAGGGGGAGGATATTCAGGGATGCTTTGGCCCAAAATCTCCAGAAGGTTGTTTTGTTTTTACCCATGTCTTTGGCTAAGCTGACTAGTGTACATGCCTCATTGCAATCTGCAAACAAATGTCCTGTAGCTTAGAAGATTCAGCAGGGAGACAGTTAACCAGATCAGAGTAATCAGGTAGAGCAAACTTGTATTTCAGTGTTCAAGTTAAATCTCCTATTGTCAGAGAACCTTGAAATTGTGAGTGACATTTGTTACAGATGGTACAATTCCTAGGGAACCAGTAGGATTCCTATGCAAATCTAGATGATTTCTACTTCTATAAGTCAAGAAAGACTGTTCAGGAAAGGTACATACTTCTTCTGGTATTGTTGACCAGAACATAATCTTAGCATTAGATCAGTACTCATAAAAAGAGAAAGTCTGAAATAAAACAATTATTCAAACAAATAGGGCCCTGGAACCCATGCTGAAATGTAATTATATTTGTGGGCCAAGAAAAAAGACAGGAAATTCTCAATAAATAAACAATTATATCTTTAAATTTTGGACTACGATAGTGCAAATTTTATCCCACTTCAGATTTTGGGTTAAGTTAAATATAAGACCGCCTAGGTTACATATGTCAATGATAGAAAATGGAGGTTCAATTCTGTCAGATAACCTTTTTTTTTATTACTGTGATACCAAAGAATAGATTAGATAAAGCACTTTACTTTCAAACAATTGTTTTCAACAGATAGGTATTCAATGAGAGAGTCTGAGAAAAATGTTTTACCAAACCAATGCATAATGAGTTATCTGAAAAGCTAACAGATTAAGAGCTCAATATCAAAAAGTGTATGACCTTCTTCAGACATTTGTCTTGTCAGCTGTATTACATTGTTCAAATTATTCAAACCAGGTCTCTCTAGCCGAGTAATCATTGACAACTGCCTTTGAATTTAGATTTTAAAATCTCAAGCAAGCCTCAATTATCCAAGTAAATCAGGCTAGGATTGGGTCATATTCTTAAGTAACCAAAGAGATAGGATTATTTTGTTTTGTTTATTTTTTAATGCACTAGTCTCCTTTCTCTGTATATCTGCTGATTCCTTGAAAATCAACCAGAATACATGTCACCAAGGTCAGTATATTGAGCAAGAAATGTCACATTTCTGAAGGCAGGTGAACGAGCAGAACATGTGGTTTTTCAAGCCGTTACTGTGAGAGTTATCAGTGTCTGTTATCAGTGATTTCGACTATGCTGGAAAGCAAAACAATGAAGCTTTTCTCAAATAGGTTGAAATTTGGTTCTGGAAGAGCCCCTTGAAAAAAATCCCCAGTCCCCCTCTTGTGCAGAGCTAAAGCCAAAGTATAAGGAACCAGATTCTTAAGAATGAGTTTCCTGCCCTGAGTGCCTAAAACAGAATCCAGTCTTTCAGCTGAAGCTTCCTGGCAAAGAATGTATTGGAGAATGTTGATGCTAGTCATGAGGGGGCTTCTCCGAACAGCTGATTCCCTAGGAAAGCCCTGATTAGCCATGATCCGTTCACAAAACAGCAATCAGCAGGAACTTCTGACTAGCAAACACTCCATCTCAGCCAGATATAAACCAATTAATTTGGTTATAACTTCACTACCGTGAGCTTCACGGCTGATGCCCAGATTCAAATTCAGGACAGAACATTAGAAAAATCATTGCATTTACTCACCCATTACCAAGACTTTTCATTTAGCATTACCTTGTGTCTTGACTATAGATCATAGTAAATAAAAGTACACTGGAATTCAGCATTTTTAATTTGATATCACAAGTTTTAAAACTCACCTAAATTTTATTTATTTTATTTTTTGAGAAAGAAAGAGTGTAAGCAGTGTGGAGCATGGGGGTGGGTGCAAGAGGGAGAGGGAAAGAATTTTAAGCAGATTCTGTGCTGAATGAGGAGCTGGAGCCAGGGCTCCATCTCATGACCATGAGACCATGACCTGAGCCAAAATCAAGAATCAGAATCTTGACTGACTGAGCCACCCAGGTGCCCCCAAACGCACCTAAGTTTTAAATATAAGAGCTATATTCACATAAGCAATTAATATTGAAAATTAACAGGTAAGTTTGTGAATGGAAATATATCCAGATCACCATTCACAGATTGGATGTCTCTCCTGATTGCACGCATTTTCAGGTGCCAACACCCCCCCCACACACACACACACACACCACCTTTTTTAACAGTTATTTGAAGATAGTTAAGAAGCCAAGTCACCATGGCCAAAATTTATCATAATTTGGAAACTTCAGTAGGTCACAATGGGAAAGAATCATTTCTGCCTCCTTCAAAGCTTTAAAACTTTCAGTTTCAAGGAAAGAAAAAGATGCAGATACAGAATGACAGGTAGATGGTAGATCAAGATGAGGCATGAATACAGAGGAAGCCAGGAAGAGAGCCAATTATTGGGACCAACATTGCATAGCTTCACTTAGGAAAAAAACAAGAACTGGGTTTAAACTGGTTTTATCTCTATAAGGACTTCCTGGGAATGATAGCTGTTATTTCTGACTCAAAAGAAACTGCAGGAGTGTCCCTTACAAAAGAAGTATTTACCTAAAGGCAGAGAGATATACCCCTTGACTTCAGTGGTTATCTTTTCTAGCCCATAAAATGGGGATGACAAGCTGAAGTAACTGCAACACTACCATCCTCAGAGTATTTCAACCAGTCATGTAGTCCCTCTCAGACCCTGATTCTTTGACACAATGCAAAGAAGGAGCACCTGCCCTGCTCTCACTCCAAGGGCTGATGCATTTAAAATAAACCAACTGATGCAGACAGCTACTCAGCCTGACTGCAATTGTCCAGAGAATTGATTAATAAAATATAAACAATTGAAACTCAGACAATATAGAAACCTCTTTGTTGTGCTTTTCCATCTCTGCTTCCAGCCATATCACTTAGCAGCTACTAAATAGAAGTCAAACAGACTGCCTTTCATTTCCGCTTCCCTTGGCCATCCTTTCACGGGTGTGCTAAGAAGCCCAGGTCACTAACAGGATGTAGGAAAGTCTGGGTTATAACATTTGGCCCCAATAGAATTGAGGTAAATACCACTGTTTAGTTCCCATACTTGTGGATAATCATCTTTCAAAATAAATTGCTTACATTTGTAGGAAGCCAGCTTCCTGCCAAACCATCCGTTTTCACCATGAGAAATGGGACAGCTGTTGCTTGCCTGGTGAAGGATTTCTACCCTAAGGCTATAAACATAAAACTTGAATCATCCAAGAAACTAGAAGAGTATGACACTGCAATTGCCATCTCTCCCAGTGGGAAGTACAGTGCTGTCAAGCTTGGTCGGTATGCAGATCCAAATTCAGTGACCTGTTCAGTTGAACACAACAATGAAATTGTGCACTCCACTGACTTTGAGCCAAAGAAAAAGTCTTCAGGTAGGTCATACCTAGCTTCAAGAGCCTGAAATTGTAGGGAAGAAAAGTAGAGGGAAAAGGAAGTTAGAGATACAAACTCTTGACAGAGCACTCTCAATATGGCATCATTGCTGGAAGCAAGACTGAGGACCAGCTATGACCCATCATTGACTTGGAATTGAATTCTGCATCCCTGGCCTGAATCTGATATAAAGGCCATCTTATTTCATCCCCCATCTCTTCTTCACCAATCCCTGCCTCCTTCATACTAATGACTGTCCTACTACTGGACTCTGGCTTAAAAATTGATGTACAACCTAATGCAGTGTGAATGCCAAAACAAAGGGCAGCCCAGCCTATCATGAGATTGAGAATCCTAGTTCTTCTTATGAATTAGAGGCATAGCTGAATGCAGGCCTCATAGTATAACAAAAAAATCCCAGAATGGGAAGAATGTTGGCTATGTGAATAGCTGCCTGACCTTAAACCAAGTCATAACACAACCTGGTCCTCAGTTTTCTTACTCAAAGTCTCCTTCACTTTTAATATTTGAAATCCTTTGAGCCTCTTGGTTGCCAGTGAATCCCTGACCACTGCTGTTTGTTCCAGGTAATACAAAACCAACAGAACCAGCAAACGTGGAGCAAATGTCAGAGAGCTTCTATGCGCCCAAAGGTTAGTTGAAATCAAGGGTCAACTTCGAAACTGAAGGTTAAAGCAAACTCTGTCATTGTCAGATGAGGCCAAAAGTCACCAGCTTTCAAAGGAAAACCAAAACCAGACCTGAGCCCATTCGGTTCCCTGAGTCTCTCAACAGCTTGCACGACTGCGAGTGAACAGTAGCCTGGGGTCCCGGAGGGCTGTCAGGCATCAAGCCGGGCTTGCAGACCAGGCAGATTTCTGGTGCTTCAGGGCAGGCTGGCTGTCAGTGTTCCAATAAGTTCTGGAAAGGAACTTAGTCTCTTGCTAAATCCAACATCTTTACTCTTGTTCATCCACAGTTCATCACAGTTCCGAGTTCACAACTGGAACAGTGAACATGCTGTCCCTCACAGTGTTGGGGCTCCGGATGGTGTTTGTCAAGAGTCTTGCCATCAATTTTGTCTTGACTGCCAAGTTATTTTTCTTTTAAGGTAAGAATTATCTGCTTTTTATTCCTACCTCCACTCAAACTATGCTACACTGGGAGAAAAGGAATTTAGGAATGTACAAAGCCAAGAAGCCTTGAGAAGGGAAAACACATAGAGACATATGATTTAATAAGGCGGGCCACCTCAGATGTTCAGCATAACGCTTATTATCCTCTTATTTCATCAAAATGTATTGTGTAGTATAATGTAATACCAGCCAATAATCCCCACCTCTTACCCAGGAGCTAAAAAATAAGGAAGCTAAGTAAGGAGAAATAGTTTTCTTTATTTACTATTTTGTTCATCTGGCCACGGGGCCATGGGCTATTTGCAAGGCCATCAGTAAAGCTTCACTCAAAGAATTTCAGAATATGCCTTTGCCTGCACAAAGGGGACACCAGCTCCCATTCCTTTGGCACTCCAATGTGTAGACCATCCCATCTTTGGGATGAACCTCTACCTCCATTAGTAGTGACCAACCCACTCACTGCTAGCTACTCAAGATGCATATAGAATCACAGCTGAGACATTAATTATTTGCCTGCTACCTGCATTCCTTCTTCAGGTAATCTCAGATGCAAAGTTCAGACTGGGGAGGAGGTTTGCCTACAAAGTCCCTTCTCCTATATCCTCAAACACTCCTCAGTCCCAACTCTTGATCTAGTGACAACTCTGGATTTCGAGTGCAAGCCTGATCCATTCCATCCTGAAAACATGTCCAGTCATTTCTATATGGGTGACTGGTTTCCAGTAGCCCCAAGGACACAGGCACTGTGGCTCTATACAAAGAGCACTACACTAGGAGTCAGAAGATGTGGGTTTTCAGCCTGACCTTGTCACTAACACTATGCTACTCTAGCCTGGTTGCTCCACCTCGTCGGGCCTGAGTTTTTGCACCCGCAAAACAAAGGAGTTATGACTGAGGAGAGCAAATAGGTTGGCTGGCTTATGCCAACACTCATAAGCTAGTACTGACCAGCTGAATTATGGCCATGTGTAGAAGGGAACCATGCCACCATAGACTAGTGATGTCTGCAATGATACAGGCATGGCAAGTATTGGCCAGCCCCAGAAGACATGAGTATTACTATTCCTTCTGGCAGTGACGGTCTGTGATCTATGTCGCTCTGACAATTGTCCTTCACTTGCAGGCTGACTGGTATGCAAAGGCTTGATTATGGGACTCTTGCGTTATGTCTTCACCAAAGCCTACAGAGGACCTGGCTCCTAGGCTTCTGACTTCTTGGTGATTCAAGTTGACCTGTCCCAGCCTTGCTTGAATGACTGCTACCCAAACCAGTTTTCCTTTGAAGACAATAAATCCAGCTCATTTTCCAGCCTGGTGGAAAGACAAAAGTCCTAGGGAGTAGGGGGGTTATGGTCCTAACTGCTTTATATGCTGCTTTATAAAGAGATACGGGACTCATTCTCTTTTTATTTCTACAACTGATATACTTTGAAAAAGGTGGTTTGTTTCTTTGACTTTTTCTTCAGAAGTAGAAAGTGAAAGTGGGATCCAACAGATTCCCAGCTCCATGCTCCCCAAAGAAAATAAATCCTGGGGGACAGAGAGCAGATGCCCTTTACCTAACATGAATGGCTCTGCTCAGCCCAGCACTAGATTTGCCCCTAGCTGGCCACAAAAGTATTTTCTGCTTTTCCTAGTACTTTACAAACAAAATTACATTTGACTTCTCAAGCAGCCAATGGGGTTTCTAAAACCTTATTTAAATACTCTCCAAGCTATTAGCAAAGATCTGAGTAAAATACAGAGAAAATGTACTTCTTTCTATTAAATGATTTCACAAACATGAATGGAGTCCCTCTAAGTTCTAGGCAATGTACCAAGGGTGCAAAGGGAGTTAAGACATGGGCCTATTTTCAAGCAAACTAACTGTGCAAGTGTTTCTTGAGGGAGGGAATAGGAATGAGACCCCTCAATTTTGGCTATAAAAACATTATCTTTACCAGGTTTTGCCTGCCAATCTGTGCACGGGGCATTTGAGGTCAGGCGACTCTGATTCTTGCCTGCCCCATGCTGTCGATGGTTCTCTGCCCTTCCCAGTGCTGTTCTCTGTTGCATTTATTAAAGTGCACTGAGTGCGCCTTGCATCTAGTTTTACTCATAACACACCACCGCAGGGGGAAAGTGGGTGCTGTGAACTCACTATTAGGCAGGCAAAAGCCAAACTGAGCTTATAGGTCACACCGCAGCTTCCTGGGTCCCAGGCCTGCAGGCGCCCGCCCAGGGACCCTGCCTCGGGGACCCTGGGTGTCCTGCTGTTGCTACTAACCCCTCTGTGGCCTCTGTTACTCCCACCTCAGCAAGACCGCAGCTTTTCCCAGATGCACCCACTCAGAAAGCAGAGTCCTTGCAACTTAGCAGTGTGTTTTCCTCAGCACCCAGGGTGCTAACTAGGGTATCAAGAGGGGGCTTATGAGGTCACAAGTGAAAGGGCAAACGCTCACCAACTCCCCTGCCATCGCCGTCTGCACTCCCATGTTATGTCTTCATAGCCCAAAGCAAAGAAAGGCACGGTAGCTCTCTGAGTCATGGGGTTTAGGACCATCTAGGTGGATAAGCAAGTCCATCCAGGAAAAAAAAAAAATCATTAAGAGTCCCTACAACTACGTCTTGTATATGGAAAGAAAACTGCTTTCCAAACCATTCCCATTTGTTACCTTGGGTAACATTAGCGTGTTTCTCTAAGTGGCTAAGAAAAAAAAGTCACATCCTCATTTTTCAGATGGATAAAATATCCCCCCCAAAAAAGGTAATGTACCTGGTCCAAAGTCCTTTGGTGAGACAAGGACATGTCTATGAGCAGCACCACATTATCAAGAGTGCCAGCCCAAGTTTTCTTCTGCAAGAGCACACTGCATCCCCAAGACAAGGGCAAGGTGTCGATTTGATTTCAGCTAGACTGGACTTCAGGACTATCCTATATTTAGCATATAAATGAGCCACCCTCTGGTCCACTTTGGTGGTTTAAAAAAACAAAAAAAAAAATCATAGCTTATCACAGGATCTCAAATTTCCTCCACCTAAAGGAGCCTTCAGAAAAGATTAATGCCAGGAGCTGGGGGAAAGGAGTGTGCTGACTGTGGCTGTCTTCAGGTCTGGGGGGGCATCGTACTGTGGATTCTAGTTTTCCAGAGCTTTCACATACAGCACCTCGTTTAAGTCCACAACAACTCTGAGGGAGTCCTCCAGAGGCTGCTACACACACTCAGTCACAGGCAGAACAGAGACTCTGAAGGCTGAGTCAGGTGCACACACCCTTTTGCTCCCTCACTCTTGTTTTCTACATTCCTCTCTATACAGTGACTGCTCTTCACTCACCTGTCTTGAAGCCCAGATAAACTGCTGCCAGAGCACCTACTGATAAAGCCTGCTAGGGTGCAGCTACCAGGGAGAGCCCTAAAAGTGCAGCATCCCACCTTGGCTCTGTAATTAACCAGGTCTCTGACCTTGGGAATGAATGTCCCTCAGTTCTCTGGGCTCCAGTGCTTTTCCTATAAAATCATAGCTAAGACTTCTACTCTCTCCAAGGTTGTATCTCATAATTGTACTCATTGTTTTAAGGCAGAGAGTTCAACAAAAATGAAGAAAAGAGGGACCCGTGCCCAGGGCCTAGAGTATATCTTTTTTGACCCTAGTTGGCCTATAGTTGACCATAGTTGGTTTCCTCTGGAGATGATTATCTTCCTTGGAGACACCATAGAGCTCCAAATTCAGGGACTTTGAAGCTGGGGTTCTGGGAATCACAGACAACTTTCTGGCAGGAGCTCCATGCTCTTCAGTGAAAGAAAAATATTCTCCAAATAATGTAAGTAAAATGGCAGTGTCAAACAGCATTCAGGAAAAATAAGATGGCTGTACAAGAAGGAAAAAAAAAGGTGAATTGGGGAAAAATTTTTGAAGTAAATAACTTTGTGTCTAATTTTGAGCCTTAGAAAACAGACCAATTCACAATAATGGATAAATGGTGGAGACTAAAATAAAGACCCTCCTGATGAACTCTCCTTGGCCTGGCCCTTCACCTGCCCCACCATCCTGTTATCTTCATAGGACTCAGCACATACTTGTCAGGCCCTGCTCTCTCAGGCATGAGTGGCCTGAGCACCTGGGGATACAAAGATGAGACGTCTTCAGACATACTGCTCCCCCTCTACCACCACCAGGGCCCATTGAGTCAGAAGGTGGAAGGTGCTCTGCTTCATCTGAAACCAGAGCTGGCTTTTTATTATTCAGCAGATACATTAGGGCACCTCTAAAGGCCAGGCTGGAACACAAAATAATTAGGAAGAAGGATCCCGTGTCTGATGAAGTGAGCTGCCGTGGTTGCTATATGAAGTTGTGCTAGGGGTTTAAGTTCAGACGTCCTGGACAACTGTGTCACTGTGGGTATCTATGGCACAGTAGTAAGTGGCACTGTCTTCAGGCTCCACCTGGGAAATCACCAAGTGGAAGGTTTTCTGGGACTGATTATGTAGTACAGAAAATCGACCCTGAGTAAAATCTGCATTTCTCGATCGAGTGTTATCCCTGTAAAGGATAAACTGAAAGGAATGATCTGACCTTATTCGGTACCAGTACAAATCTGGGTTTGAATATGAAGTGTCGTAAGTGCAGAGCAGTGTCACCTCACTGCCACTTGCCACCATCTGTTCCAGGGAGCTCTGGAACACTTGCTCACACAGCACACCCTTGTCTGTGAAGAGAAGAAATAGAATATAGTGAAGTCCTGCGCTCCATGGGCACCAGGTCCCCTGCGGGCCCACCCAGAGGGAATTCAGTGAGCAAAGGCAGGAGGAAGACACAGAGATGAAAGTCAAAGGCAGAGATATAACTGGAAAACCAAGTGTAGAGAGAAACAGGCCAAGTGTTTCAAGTCAAGAGAAAGGGAAACAGGGTTGTAGGACAAGAGGAATGTACACAAATGAGTATACTCACAAAAAAGCAAAAGGCTAAAGCCCACAAGAAAAATCATCCTCTCTTCCTAGCAGGGCAGAGGCTGAAGAATAAAGCGGAGTCCCTGAGTCTCTGAGACCATCTCACAGCTTCTGGTGGGAGGAGGTGGGAGGGAATAGGAGCAGGCTGGCAGCCCTGACCGTCACATGACTGGATGAGCTGTAACTCTCTGAGGCAAATGCTTCCTGCCAAGAAACTGTTGTTGTTATTGTGATTTTGGTTCTCAATCCATCTTGAACTAATCCTTTTATGAAACACAAAGAAAATAAAAATTACTTAAACACACACACGCACACACACAGAAATAGACCTGCAAGCCCAATGAGCACGTGCTTAGACATCCAATTGCTATACAAGAGGCTTACCCTCCATTCCTGTATCCTCGGGCCACAGACTAGGTACAGTCCAGGATCACACAGCACCCAGCATAGCTGCACTGGTACTCAATAAATGGCATTTGGGGGGCACCTGGGTGGCTCAGTGGTTGAGCATCTGCCTTCGGCCCAGGTCGTGACCCCGGGGTCCCGGGATCAAGTCCCACATCAGGCTCCCTGCGTGGAGCCTGCTTCTCCCTCCCTGTGTCTCTGCCTCTCTCTGTGTCTCTCATGAGTAAATAAATAAAACCTTTTTAAAAAAAAATTGATTCTGAAATCTCTCCTAGCCCTAAATTCTAGAAATCTTCTATTTCTAATGCCTGGGGGCATACCCTGCCCCCAAGAGTGCTTACTGCACGTCACACAGTGTGACTTCCCATCTCTCAGTAGGCCCTTTGCAGCACATGCTTAGGTCCAGCTGGCAAATTCTCCCCCAAAGCAGAGCTGCCCACAGTGGGCCTGGGGTGGGGGTGGGGGGTGCTGTGAGTGGTTTACAAGCTCACTGGGCTAGTGCTCAGTGTGGCCACTGGAGCCACAGTGGCTGGCGTGCCTGAAAGCAGCCCTTCCAGCCACCTGCCAGACAAATATCATTTTCTGTGTACGTCAGGACATGACAACAATGGGAAGACGCTGCCCCGAGAAAGAGAGGACTGACTACTTCACCCCTCCACATCCAGCAGCATTTGGAGGAATGTTTATAGGAGTCTCTTTTTCCCTTTCCCTGTGTCTGACTCATTAGTGAGTCTTATTGGTTCTGCCATGAAATATTTGTCCAGGTTCTCAATCTCACCGCCGCCACCTCCCACAAACACCACCGTCTCTTGTCAGGACCACTGCAGTCACCCGCTAACTGGTCCTCTTGCTTCTGCTCTTCTCTCTGGACAATCTATTCTCCAGGTTATGGAATGTAAATCAGATGATGGCAGCTGGATCTCCTT